ATGGATATATTAACCAATTGAATGTTTGAATTGCTCCCCGTTGGTTTCTTGACAGTAAGCAAGCCTATCCGAAATTTTTCTGAGAACGTTTTAGTGACTTCCGCACTAATAAAGCGACATTCTTCATTTCATTTGATTTTTAAAGTCTTCTAAATTTTGTGGTCTGTTGATTTAAGGTAATAATTAAGAGTGGTGAGATCTAGAGATCTAGAGATCTCGCTGGCCACTCTATCGGTCCTCTTGTGTCAATCCACCTCCCTGCTTAAAATACCCCATAGAGACCTATACAAAATAATCTATCGGGCGCTACCGGATTCAATATGTGCATTTGTCCATGGTTTTTTCCGGATACGGCCCGATAGAAAATGTATAGGAAATTACCTATAGGCACACCATAACTTTTACATTTCCCCTATTGAGACCGATAGCAATTGCTATTTAAATAACTCAATGAAAGATATATAGGGATATCCCTATAGAGCAACCATAAAACATTTGACAAAATTTTATTAAAACCTATGGGGTCCTATAGGGGAAAAACTAATTTCTACATTTATGTGTATTTTCCCCATTGAAACCGATGGCAAATAAATCAAAGGTGGATATCCCTATAGAACAACCATAAATCTCAACTATGGGTCCTATACAAACCGATACACCCTATAGAAACACCATACATCCCGATAAAAATATCTATCGGTTTGAACAGGGTCTCTATGGGGTATTTTAAGCAGGGCTCTATTAAAGAAAGCAACACAATACAAAATATAATATAATATAATACAATACAATACAATAAAATAAAATTTCTTATTTATGTAGGTATATTTTATGTTTCTGCAAAATTAATAGTTTTATGTAAAAGTAGAAAAAAAAGCCTATTAACTATTTCAAATATTATTTAAATCTGTTGTGGTACGTTTATATCTGATACTTGCAAAATTTTTGGGTAAAACGATCTTTTTGTTAATAAGTTTGAAATGATTTTTTTTCCTTTCGGTTAATGTATATTTATTATTAAAACTGCAGAGAGTACCTAGTTTGTTTTTATTAATATTTATTAATAAATAAATTCCAATTAAAAATAATAATTTGTTTTTTATTGATAAGGCGTGCAGCTAGCATATTTGTAGGTAAGCTATCCAACTACAATTCAAATTAGAATACTATTTTCTGAATCGTAGTAAAGTATGGCCTGCTGCGGTCGCGCATACCCTACACCATTCTCTAATATGATTCAGAACATCACAAACTGGGAGATGTGCTGAATCGTAGTAAGGATTGTATTGTACTTAGTGGCGTTTAATTTTGTCAATCCTTACTGCGATTCAGAACACTATGGTAGTACACAATGCCAATACGCTACCCGGGCTCGATCCCTTCGACCATTAAATAATTCTAACAAGTATTTGTTGTGCCGAAATTGAAACAAAGTCTTAACATATTAAATAACGAATATCAATTTATCAAATAAATAAAATAAGATAAACTGTACACTAGGGTGATGCAAAAAAATTTTTTTTTTAATTCTATGCGAGACCACTCGGGATTTCAAAGAGTATCAAGAAAATAAAAATCTGTAAAAATTTGAGAGAAATCAATTAAAATTTAGAGGTCGCTCAACGCAATTGTTTAATTTAAAAAAATCACGCATCTCAAATGCATTGCTATAAACAAGTAGGCATATTTCATACAAATTTTAATGAAAATGGTTGAATTTTTTTTGTTTCAAAATCTGTAAAAACATTGTTAATAGGTCTACAAGCAATTATTCATTCACAAAAACACTCTCCCCCATCGTTAAATATGAGAAAAAAAATAATATTTTAATTAACCACACTTCGCGTCAAATTTAACGCACCACTAAAAGTTTGTCACATTTTCAAAGTTGATTTTCTCGCAAACCGTCAAACCGAATTTGGTAATTTTTGTTTTAAAATTGAGGTTTATTATTTGGTTATGATGCCTTTATTAAAAAAATTTTTCAAATTTAAGTTTTGAGTATATACATATATAACCGTCAAACCGAATTTAGTGATTTTTATAATAAATTGTAGGTTTATTCTTCGGTAATAATGCGTTTATTAAAATATTTGTTTAAATTAACATTTTGAGTATATATAGGATGCAAGTGTAATAATTAGTTTTTTTCCAGAAATTTGAAACGCCCTGTTGGTTGTACAGCATATGTCTCTTACAATCAAACTATAGCCCCATGTTCTATTAACATTTTGTATTTTTATTCACCGGGTTATCTTTATTTTTAAATGAAATATACATTTAAAGATTAAGGTACCATGAATAGTGTACGATATATCGAGGACATTTTATTTGAGCCTGTTGTCCCTTTCGCCCGGTAATAATTTTTTACTGATGCAGGATAATGCTATATAGTGCAAGTGTACTTACATGAGGTGGGTGTTAAAACTTTAGACTGGCCTGCAAATAGTCCGGATCTCAACACCATCGAGCATTTGTGGGATAATATGGGTAGACGACTAAGAAATCATGATTCCTTGCCTGCCTCCCTTGATAACGTAGCAAATATGCTACGAGAAATATGAAATGTCATTGATCAAGACGAGATTAGAGATCTGGTTTCGATTGTAAGCCGTCGATGTGAAGCCGTAATTAGAAGTAGAGGCAGAAATATGCGATATTGATATTCTTTAATGTTGGTTTTATTGATTTTGTTAATATTTTTGTTGTTATTGTTACAATCGTTCTTTTTACATTTTTGTATTAAACTGGAGTTCTTTAATCTTTAACTGTATATTTCATTTAAAAATAAAGATAACGTGGTGAAAAAACAAAATGATAAGAGAAGATGTGGCTATAGTTTGATTATAAGATACATATGCTGTTATAGCTGGTACAATCCACAGGGCGTTTTAAATTTCCGGGAAAAAACTTATTATCACTCTTGCACCCTGTATATACTCAAAATGTTAATTTAAAAAATATTTTAATAAACGCATTATTACCGAAGAATAAACCTACAATTTATTATAAAAATCACTAAATTCGGTTTGACGGTTCGCGAGAAAATCAACTTTGAAAATGTGACAAACTTTTAGTGGTGCGTTAAATTTGACGCGAAGTGTAGTTAATTAAAATATTATTTTTTTTATATTTAACGATGGGGGCGAGTGTTTTTGTAAATGAATAATTGCTTGTAGACCTATTAACAATGTTTTTACAGATTTTGAAACAAAAAAAAAATTAATGAATTATTTGTTAACTAAGCTATATTTGCTAATTAATATATATTTTTTAAATATTATGAAAAATTTTTTGAAATCGGGACAACATTATTAATTAGAATAATCACTAAGCGTCCACCAAAAAAAATTCAACCATTTTCATTCAAATTTGTATGAAAAATGCCTACTTGTTTATAGCAATGCATTTGAGATGCGTGATTTTTCTAAATTAAACAATTGCGTTGAGCGACCTCTAAATTTTAATTGATTTCTCTGAAATTTTTACAGTTTTTTATTTTCTTGATACTCTTTGAAAACCCGAGTGGTCTCGCATAGAATTCAAAAAAAAATTTTTTTGCATCACCCTACTGTACACAATAAAGTACGTAAATAATAAATATAAATTTGTAGTAAAATGGTAAATTACATTACAATATAAAATGTAATATTAGTAAATGTAATATAAACATTATAATTATAAACACAAAATAATGATTATAATACATTTGTAATTTGGTTTGTCCAACCACAACCAGCTCATTCCTTCTTTCACAAAGAAAAAGTTGAAATAATAATAAAATATAGTTTAAATTAAATATTAAATAATTAACCACTCATTATGATATTTGTGACCTTAGATAATAATAACTAAATATAGAAAAGACATACCTATTTAAATAAACAACACTTTCACAAAAACTGAACTTATATAAAATCAATTGATTATTTGTTAAATTCACTCCCTTATAAAATTAAAGAATTCAACTATTCCCTTCAAAGAGCCAAACGTAACTGTCCCCAATATATTTTTTCTCTAGATTTACACGCTCTTTTTATGTTTATTTTTATGACTAGGAACTGTACCAATTATTATTTTGAATATTGTTCAAATATTTGGTATCCTTATTATCAGAATCACTGCAAATCACTTGAAGGAGTTCAACGTCGATTTTTGAAAATATTATATATTAAAAAACACAATACTTATCCAGAGAGGGGATATGATCACAATCTATTATTGCAGGAATTTAATATTTCAGCACTAGATGTTAGGAGGAATATATTTTCAATTAAATTTTTGTACAAACTTGTCCATAATAAGATTGACTGCCCAGATCTGCTTGAGCGGTTGAATTTTCATGTTCCGCGTATTCATTCTAGGTCAGTTTCAACCTTTAAATGTTTTGCACGTACAAATGTACTTTTGCGGTCGCCAATGTTTGTTATGTGTACCAACTTTAATAAAATATCTCACGTGTGTGATATTAATTATTCTGAATTGTCATTTATTATTTGTACTTTTTTAAGCGTTAATTAGTTTATTATTGTTTATAGACTTACTTTACTATGTATGAGTCATTTTATATTTTTGCTATTATGCTGTTACTATAGTTTTTATTTTTTGTTCTTTGTCCTGTAATTGGAATTTTTTCTGTTGGGCAAATAAATAAATTTATTATTATTATTGGTGGTCGTCCAGATGGGACTCATAAATTAAAATAGAATAATAAACAAAATAAAGAGTGTATCGAATTCTAAAGTGAAAACTTATACCTAACACCTAATTAAATCTTAAAACAAAAATTTAAAATTTAATATATTATTTCGTAAAGCTTAAATACTTAAACTACCAAATGTTAAAAATTAACTGCCCTATATATCGTCCCATTACAATTGTAAGAACATTATAAAAGAGCATGAGAATGTCTTTTAAAGATTTTAACCGCTATATTTTAATTTTTGCCTATTTTCTTGTATTTGTAAAAGATACATATGTATAATAATAGTGTGTTTTAGAGTTCTTACACTTTTCGAGAAGTTCACTGTTTAAATGAAACTTCAGAACTAGCCAAAAACTGTTCGGGATTTTACACTATAACTTCCTCAAAAGCTGATATGAACGATGAACCACTGTCATCTAATATACATGTGAAACCGCAAAAGATTGTTGTAAATTTAAGAAAAAATCAGAAATACAAATTTAATTTTCTCTACCAACAAGCCAGTGATTATCCAGTTGATCTATACTTTATAATGGACATGTCGAATTCCATGAGAAAAGTTAAAAAAACAATTGGAAATTTGGGCAAATCTATTTTGGAAAAATTAAATAAACTAACGAAAAATTCTCGAATCGGTTTTGGTTCTTTTATCGATAAAGCTTGTTTGCCGTTTCAAAATACTGGTAATAACACTATTAAAGAAAATACATACAGTTTCAAAAACAATATTGCCCTCACAAACAATTCAGAAAAATTTAAGAAAGCAGTAGAAGATGCTTTGACCTTACCAAACTTGGATTGTCCTGAAAGTGGGTTTGATGCTCTGATGCAAGCGATGGTTTGTAAGAAAGAAATAAATTGGAGGGAGGATTCCAGACATATTATAATACTTGCAACTGATGCGGCATCTCATATGGCAGGTAAAACTTACACTTTTTTACGAAAACATTTTATAAAAAAAGTGCCTGGAGGTTTTTTAACTAAAAAGCCAGCGTAAAAGATTCTTTAATTTGTGTTTCTGCTGAATGCATGGGCGCCCATATAAAATTTTTAAGGGGGGACAAACATCCTTATTACAAAGGCCGGCAAAATAAAATCTTCTTTTTGCAGCAGGGTGGCAACTTTTTTGGGGTAATTTGCTTGCGCTGATTCCAAAAATGACCATCTTGTGAGAAACCCGTTTTTTTTCAATATGTAAACATTCACATTCGTAAATATTGATTTTAGTCAAATAATGGTAATGTGGCTTTAAAAATGGCACTTAAATCAACCGCGCGTGTCACATTGGTAGTTTCGGTCATTTCTGCTCCTGTACCCAGTAGTATAGGTACTACTGGGTCATTCCATGACAAACGATACTGAGGGTGAAAAAATAAATATGTTCTTTTTGCATTAAATCTTATGAATTTTGAAAGAAAACATTCCAAACTATAATGTGCGACAAAAAAAAACTAGAAAAAACGCGTAATTTAATTAGTTAATTAGTCTTCAAAATCTTTATCCAAGTGAACTGGCTGAATGACCATTGTGCCTCTAACTATTGGAAATTAAAAAAAAAAACTGTCAATATGTCAACCGTTTTGCCAGTTTGTGATTTAAGGTTATTTATCGTAGTATTGGTGAATTGCGTCACAGTCACAGAATTAGTGTAATAATATTTAGTAAAAGTAACTTTATGGTGGTAACGATTTAAAATACTTACTAATATCTGAGAATGGGACTAATATGAAGTGCTTTTCTTGATTAAAAACAACTTTTTTCATATATCGATATATTTTTGTGTATTACTTGAAGAATGTAATAAGTAATATTTTTAAGGCTCATTCGACGGCCCACTAGCTATGTTTAAGGAGAATTAATTCTATTTATTTTTATTTGTTACTAACTTCTTACTAATATAACAACGATTTTGTCCATGTAAAGTGTTGAATTTTTTTACTTGTAACACCCGAAACAGAACCATGGTAACAAACGAATCAAAGTAAAATTTTATAAAAAAATAGTAAAACGTTATTTGTGACAGTGATTATGTGGTATATGTTTACTAAATATTATAATTTTTGGAGGCCTGTAATTTTTAAGAATGTTTCCCTAAGAAAATTAGCTGAATTTCAAATAAATGTAACAATGGTCAGGACATAGAGGCAGAAACACCCGAAACATCCGAAACGCACAAGTTAATTAGTCTTCAAAATCTTTACTCAAGTGAACTGGCTGAATGACCATTGTGCCTCTAACTATTGGAAATTCAAAAAAAAACTGTCAATATGTCAACCGTTTTGCCACTTTGTGATTTAAGGTTATTTATCGTAGTATTGGTGAATTGCGTCACAGTCACAGAATTAGTGTACTCCGGCAACCAAGTATACAGTTTTATGTATGTTTATTGTTTAAAATGTTTTTTAAGTTTATTTTTTTTAAGAAAATAGTTTTGTTTTGTATTATTAATATTAATCAACTAAATGCTTTTTTCATTGCAAAAATAAAAATGTGCGCATTTTCCATAATAAAGGTTGAAAAAATAATTTATTAAATTAATACCTACATACAAAATACAAAAGTGAAAAACATAATATTTTTTGTTAAAAAATATAGTAGGTACTACAGTTAAGGGTTTATTAATTTTTTTGTTAATTTTGTTTTCAGAATGTAAATTGGGTTGCCTATATTAGGTAGGTAGTTATTTAAATTTTCGAGCATAATTTTACGAGTTAAGTCTATTTTAAGAATATTTAAATTTGTTATTATAAAGCTAATATTAATGCATTGTTATATATTTTAAATTAATTAAATCATTTATTGATTTTCAGGTTTGGAAGCAATATTTTATTAGTTGGTATAACAATAATTTATTAGTATTTATTTATCATGGATTTATTTTTATTTATTATTTAGGTATTAATTAGTTGGCAATAATATATGTAAAAGTTATACATTTTTCAAAAAAATAGGTCTTTATTTTTGAAATATCTAAATTTTTTAAGTTTGTTTTTTTGTACCTTCTTTTCAGAATATAAAAAAATATTCAGACCGATTTTCAACGATTCTTTTAATTTTCAGAAAAAACTAAATTTCTCGTTGATTGTCATTTTTTTATTAGAAACTGCCATTTTCTGAAATTTTTAGTGCTGTTTTTTCGTTTTCCATTTTTTTGTTCAATTAAATTATTTTTTTAACTCAGCCTATTAAGAGTAAAAAGAAATAAAAGATTGTTCTGAATATATTTTTTTAAATTAGGTACTTTGAAAACAAAGAAAATGATAAAAATTGATATTTGGTACATTTTTGGTGGTTAATTTGTATAGAAATTTGTTTCATGTTTTTTTTACATTTACATTTACAATTTTTTTGTTTAAAACATGTTGTTTTTAGTATTTTATCTTTCATTTTTGACACTTTTTAATGTTGACGTTAGTCATTTTTGACATTTGACATTTGTTTTGACGTTAATCATTTTTATAAAAAAAATTTTAGATAATTTATTATATAATATTTTGGCATTAAAATTGTCAAAAATATTCTTTTTTTTTAGGCCATACATTAAATAAAAAAAACGCAGGAAATATTTTATAAGACGGCCATTCCAAGTCCATGGACAGGACACATCAGAAACATGTCTAAATATATTCTTGTTACTTCCTTAAGTTTACTTATTTTTTCTACGAGTATTTATGAGAAGTATTAGCCAAATTTGGCTAATACTTCTCATAAATACCCTTAGAAAAAATAAGTAAACTTAATTAAGTTCCTTAAGGAAGTAACAAGAATATATTTAGACATGTTTCTGATGTGTCCTGTCCATGGGCTTGGAATGGCCGAAGAGTAGAGATAATTTTTAAAACTAAAAGGTGTGGACGGGACAAAAAAAAGATTTATCTTGTCCCATCCACACCTGTCAATTATTTAAATTATCTCTAATTTTATAAAAGAAGAATATATTTGACAATTTTGATGCAAAAATAATATATAATAATTTTATTTTTACTATTTTTCAATTTTGACGTTTGTTAATTTTGTCATTTGCATTTTAGACATTTGTAAATTTTCACGTTGATCATTTTTGACATTTGTTAATTTTGTCATCTGTCATTTTTGATATTTCATTTTTAATATTTCTCAATTTTGACATTTGTTAATTTTGTCATCTGTCATTTATGATATTTCATTTTTAATATTTCTCACGGTCTTATATACAGGTCTTGCAACTTCGCCCAATTTCAATAGGAAAAGTGACCTCTCTAATGAGACACCCACCAGATGGCGCATCGAGTTGGATGGATAAACCATAGTAGAGGTAGCGATAGTGGTCAAAAGTAGACTATCGATACTATCGATTAACTATCGATAGTTTACTAAAATTTCAAAACCGTATAGTTTAACATTTTATTAAAAAAATAAAAGATTTATTTTTATAGTAGGCACATTTTCAACCTACCAAATACAGGAGAGTCAAAAATATAGTATAGTATTTCAATATAAATATCTACCTTAGTTATTAAAACCTTTATATCAAAATCTATAATAGTAATCGAGTTTCAAAACATCAACAATAAAATAATTGACATCACATATTTTGACAGTTTACTTGATTCTGTTTTTTTTCTCAGGATTACCACCGTTGGTAAATCTAGGGTCCCTAGATTTTGCCAACTAAAACCCCAAATTTTTAACGTCGTCAAATTCCAAATAAAAACCAACCATAGTTATATTAATTTCTTTGATACAACTATCGCTAGACGATAGTCTGTCACTATCGATAGAATCGATAATTCGATAATTTTTAAAATATCGAAACTATCGATAAACTATCGATAATATCGCTACCTCTAAACCATAGATGTTTAAAGGTCGTTTTTACCTTCTTTATCTTTGGGTTTTACAATCGTTAGATAAGCTCTCTGGTGGATAATTTTCTTAGATAGAAGGTTTCTATGAAAGTTATCCACCAAATAAGCTAACTTAATCTAACGATTGTAAAACCGGCTCTAAGTCCTTAAAGTCTATGGGATAAAAGGTCAAATGAACTACCTACTTATGTTCTGTGAAGAAACATAACCTACATTTTTATAAACAAGCTTGTGTATTTTGTTACAGGGAGTTTTTACTTATTAATAATATTAATATATTGTTATACATTTGTATTTGTGCTTTTTAATAGACATGAAGTCCTGTGTTGTGCCAAAATGTAACCAGCAAAGCTTTTGTTCCGGCATTAAAATTAAGCGGTCCATATTTAAAGTGCCAACAAATAAGGAGCGGTTAAAAACATGGCAATGTGCAATAAAAAACATATTATTGACACCTTCACATTTTGTATGATTATTATATAATTAAGCACATCGTGTTGGTGAAATATATATTATTTTAAATAAACAATCAACCCATCCCCGCCAAGACAATAAAAAAATCGGTTATTAATAAATTAGCCAGAATATTGGTTGGTTAGTTTGTAAACTAGGTATCTAAAGCTTGGCTATGTTGTGTTACTAGAAATTTTGGTTTTCATATTAGCCAAATTGAATTGGATAGTTTACAAATTATCCAGCTATTCCTAAATTAGCCAAGACCCTTGGTTGGTTTACAAACTAGCCGCTAATTTAGTTAAAAATACGTTTTCAATTAAAATAGCTGACAGTTTGGCTGGTTTATAAACTACCCAGCTACTTTATAAACTATCCATGTTTACACATTAGCCGTAACATATATACCTATGATACCTATACGTATGTATTTTATACATTAACATGTTTGGTCTGGGCATGTGACGGCCGAGGACTTTGTGCATAGAGTATAGACTTTGTTGTCCTATTTTGTTAACGTAAATTATCCAAAACAAACTCACAAATATTAAATTTTTGAAAATGTAAACAAAACATAGAAAAAGAATTTAAAAAGTTAGGTTATGGTTATGCAGTAGTCAGGGTTGGGTATCTACCTACATTTTTGTTTTCGACATGTAGAAAACCTTTTTCGACGTTTTCGACGGTAGAAAACGTAAAAAAGTAGAATACTGTCAAATATCAAAAAATGTGAGGTTATGAAAGTTTGTTGTTTATTATGATTTGTTAAATGTTGTGAAAAATCAGACACCTACCATAAATTTGAAGTTATTTGGAGTTTTTTAACATTATTATGGTGGGAAAAAAAGGGCCACGTTTGGTTGGGAGACCCCAACATAATTTTTGGCATGAGGGCAAATTTTTATCAATTATAGAGAAATGGAAGGAGAAGGTCGAATAAGGTTATTTACGTAGGTAGAAAACCCTATAGGTTTTCGACGCAAGTCGAAAACAAGTTTTCTACCCTTTTCTACCAAGGTAAATTACCTAAGGTTTTCTACTGACCCAACCCTGGCAGTAGTTCCACATTTAACTAAGTAGTAGTTTAATTGACTTTACCCCTTTGATCTTAGCGCCACCTAGCGGCTTGGCACGTTAAGGAAGCTTAAAGTTGCAAGACCTGTATATAAGACCGTGATATTTCTTAATTTTGACATTTGTTAATTTTGTCAGCTGCCATTTTAGAAATTTGTAAATTTCGACCTTGATCATTTTTGACATTTGTCTTTATTGAAAATTTAAATTTTGACATTTGTTAATTTTGTCATCTGTCATTTGGTGATTTTGACATTGTCCGTTTTGACATTTGCCATTTTTTATTCCTTATTTTTGACATACATATGACATTTTTGACATCAAAGGAGTGTCGGAAAAGTACCCGGAATTTGTAATTTAAAAACACGCCGCGTTAAAGATATGTAGGTATTTAATTTAAGTAAGAAATAAAAGGGTTAAATAAACATACATTTAAATGTATGTTTATTTAACCCTTTTATTTCTTCTTATCGATGGGCAAAATTTTACTTTATAAAAAAATAAAAACCAATAAATATTATAAAATACATAGTTTATTGTTTATTTATTTATCACAAAAATAGCACACAACTTATGGATCTAGAGAATACATATTTGGATTGAAAAAAAGTTCCAATGTGAATGGTTTCACATTATCAACGTCGGATTCGTTGAAATCGCGACATTCTGTAAAAGTTTGATTGGTTTTTTCTCCAAAGCAAATTGCTCCACGTTCAATGGCGCCATTTTTGTTGGACGTAGAAGAAAAAATCTGGTTTACACCAGCTTCAATAGCAGGAGAAGCATTAGCCATGAACCTTTGCTTGACGTCATCAGCACCTTTAACAGTGTCGGAGCATACACCACCACCACGTAATCTAAGTAGCAAATAGAGAGTACTACCAGCTTGTATATTATAATCTTTCATTGTGCGACCGTCTTCACATTGTTCGCCCTTAAAGACCAATCTCTGTTGATCGACCGGAATTCCTTCTTTGTGTTTAATCAAGGATTTCAATGTTTCAACAGTCTCAACATTGGACGATACTTTAATTTCTAGTACTTTACCTGTCAGAGTTTCCACATAAACGGTGAATTTGCTTCCCTCAATAGCAACATCAAACACCAGCCTTGAGCAAATTTCGGAAGACTCTTCGTAGGTTATGTTGCTACGCGCGGCATTGGCCGCCACCACCTCTTTACCTTTCTCGCTTAATTGACTGGCAAAATGAAAATGTCTGCCGTTGTCAGTGACAGTTTTCAGTAGGGCTTTCCTTCCAGCCCCTACAACGAAAGATCCGAAATCCTTGGTGCCTTTCAGATTAAATGATATGCGTCTGTCGTTGCTGGTGTTGTCAATCTGGATACCGAAGTCGGTGTCTGCAGTGGGGAAAAACCCAATAAACTTGTCAATCGTTGATCCTTTCCCTATCGGAATGGATTGTTGCTGTGGCAATTGAACAATTTCAATTTTTAGGCCAAAAGTGTAGGAAACTTGATTGGAAATCAAATTTGGATGATACCACATTTTCGTACAAAGGTTCTATTCAAAGTTTGACAAACTCACTGTGAGCAAAATTTCCTGAAAAGTGCATAAAAAAATTAAACAATATATCTAATAAAATATTTTTCTTTCATATCAACTCCCAGTAAAATATTTTATTACATTTTTCTCTAGAGGGGGCAGCTGTCCCATATCGATTTTTTTTTAATTTGATGAATTTATTTTATTGGTAATTTTGACATGGAATAACCCGTATCGTCGCTGTGGAAGTCAAGTTGATTTTAAATAACAGGAAATTTAGGATATATTAGCTTGACGGCATTTTACAAATTACGGCAAAACGGTTAAAGTTACAGGTAAAAAGTAAAAACAATTTTATAGAAAATTTAATTTCCTATAAAAAAGATTTTATGCGATAATACAATAAAATGTATAGTTTAAAAGATATAGAGCATTTAATAAATGGTACTGTCAAATATTGATAAAACTAATCAATACTTAGTTAACAGTAAAATTTATTAAATTTTATTATTATCTTTTAAACTATGCATTTTAATGCATTAATCCATAAGACCTTTTGTAGGAAGTTAAATTTTCTGTGAAAATTTTTTTTACTTTTAACCTGTAACTTTAACAGTTTTGTCGTAAAATGCAAAACTACTGTTATTATGACTTTAGTAATGTATTATATGTATACCTACATATAATACCTGTCTAAATATATGAAGTGTGGTAAAATTGTTGCTACAACTAAAAGAGCATCTAAACATGTACAAATAGCACCTCTGTAAATTGTAGTAACGGAAAATGTCGACAAGCTATAAAAAATTGAAAAAAAAATCATTAATTTTGGAAAATAAGAGAACTTGAAATATGTAAATCAATATTTTGCTTGGAGAAAACAGCCAAATTGAGGTTATGTATCAGTTTAACGGTATGTCTAATGTCTAAACTTACTAAATATGATTTGTGTGATTGTTACATATTATTAAAGTACACAAAAAATACGTGTAATTTGTGTGTACACAAAATTCCTTTGATAGTGTCATATAAAAGCTAAAATGCTTACCCAAATATATATAACACTTCTAACAAGTTAAAATATTAAAAGTAGATGTTATTTTTTCTTATAGAAACAACTTTCTGCACAAGATATATTCAACTTTTAGTAAACAACAATAATCAGTGCTGCCAGAGCAGATGGTCGGATAATCCGTATATATTCGTGGAAAGGGTGGGGGGAAGCCTCGAAAAATCCGTAAAAATCCGTTTTTGTCTAAATTTCGAAAAATTTCTTCTATAAGGGGGATTTTCGTGACAAAACATACCTTTCGTCAAAGAAAATCCGAAACATCTCAGAATTTTTCGGGGGAGTTTCAGAAGTTTGAACCTCTTCGTCAGTGATATAATTCTCGTCACTTTCCATTTTTCACAAAATAAAGTATTTTATATACAGATTCGGATATATAATAAACATTGACTTTGAGATCAAAATATTGCCACAATGCAGTTCAATGCACTGAACTGGAGTCAGTATTGGTTAGTCGTTACTATTGGTGGCATTGCGCCGCTTATATATTGGCAGCAATAACAACGTGTTATAAAACCTTAACAAATGATATGAAACTATCGTTCTCTTTGTCACACTCAATGAAAAAGCATATGTTTCGCATATATTCGGCCTTTAAGAACCCTATATTAAGAACACATCCTTTTTCAATCCGCTTTCTTTTTCTGTCTAACGTAGTAAAAAGGAAGAGGAATAGAAGCGTGACAAAGATGATCAAAAAACGTGGCAAAAATGATGTTTTTTTAGTATTAGTATGAAGCTATCTTAAAAATCCGTAAAAATCCGTATTTGATGAAAATCCGTTCAAAATCCGTTTCCAATTTCTCTAGACCTGGAAAATCCGTAAAAAACGGATAAATCCGTTCATCTGGCAGCACTGACAATAATGATGATTTTAATGTTTACCAACCTTAAAATAAAAAAATATTGCCTCCGGCAACCCAGTATACAATTTTATGTATGTTTATTGTTTAAAATGTTTTTAAAGTTTATTTTTTTTAAGAAAATAGTTTTGTTTTGTATTATTGATAGTAATCAATTAAATTAATATTAATCAACTAAATGCTTTTTTCATTGCAAAAATAAAAATGTGCACATTTTCCATAGTAAAGGTTGAAAAAATATCTACAAATAATTTATTCCACAAGGGTTTATTAATTTTTTTGTTAATTTTGTTTTCAGAATGTTAATTCGGTTGCCTATATTAAGAAGGTAGTTATTTAAATTTTTCGAGCATAATTTTACAAGTTAAGTCTATTTTAAGAATATTTAAATGTGTTATTACAAACTTATAATAATGCATTGTTATAAATTTTAAATTAATTAAATCATTTATTGATTTTCAGGTTTGGAAGCAATATTTTATTAGTCGGTGTAACAATAATTTATTAGTATTTATTTATCATAGGTTTATTTTTATTTATAAACATTTCATTAGGTATTAATTAGTTGGCAATAATACCTATATGCAAAAGTTATTTTTCAAAAAAAATAGGTCTGTTTTTTGTAGCTACTTTTCTTTCAGAATATAAAAAAAATATTCAGACCTATTTTTTTGTCACCTCGGCCAAGTGTTTTTTAAAAAATTGTAGATAGGTAATTTATAATATTTTGGCATTAAAATTGTCAAAAATATTCTTTTTTTTATTAGGCCATACATTAAATAAAAAAAACGCAAAAAATATTTTATAAGTAGAGATAATTTTTAAAACTGAAAGGTGTGGACGGGACAAAAAAAAGATTTATCTTGTCCCATCCACACCTGTCAATTATTTAAATTATCTCTACTTTTATAAAAGAAGAATACCTATATTTGACAATTTTGATGCAAAAATAATATATAATAATTTTATTTTTAATATTTTTCAATTTTAGACATTTGTAAATTTTCACGTTGATCATTTTTGACATTTGTTAATTTTGTCATCTGTCATTTATGATATTTCATTTTTAATATCGCTATTGCTAGTACACCGCGCGCGGTGTACTATTCTACACTGCCAATTACGTCATAATTATAATCCGTTTTTGTTCCCCGAGCGTTTAATATTTGATAACAAGCTAGATGGCTCAGATGGTAGGGCGGGCGCTTGGCATGCGAGAGGTCCCGGGTTCGATTCTAAGAACTTTTTTTATTTTTTTATTTCATAAATTTGTTGTTTCTTTGTTAAACAGTGTTCGATTGGGTTGGTTAATTTGTTTTAGTTTTATCGTAACATAAAATCTACCAGAAGTTGTCGAACTTTTTTTATTTCATAAATTTGTTGTTCCTTTGTTAAAGTGTTTTATTTTTATCGTAACATAAATTTGCCCATTTTAGTTGGGTTTTTTTGCTCAATGGGGCGGGGGGGCAATGGGGCGGGGTCGGTTGGGTTGTGTTGTTGAGTTTGGGTTGATTTGGGTTTATGACGTAATATATAATTCGGCGGTGCAGAATAGTACACCGCACGCGGTGCACTAGCAACAGCATTTTAATATTTCTCAATTTTGACATTTGTTAATTTTGTCAGCTGCCATTTTAGAAATTTGTAAATTCGACCTTGATCATTTTTTACATTTGTCGTTATTGAAAATTTAAATTTTGACATTTGTTAATGTTGTCATCTGTCATTTGGTAATTTTGACATCTGTCAGTTTTGACATTTGCCATTTTTTATTCCTTATTTTTGACATACATATGACATTTTTGACATCAAAGGAGTGTCGGAAAAGTACCCGGAATTTGTAATTTAACAACACGCCGCGTTAAAGATATGTATTTAATTTAAGTAAGAAATGTATGTTTATTTAACCCTTTTATTTCTTCTTACCGATGGGCAAAATTTTACTTTATAAAAAAATAAAAACCAATAAAAATTATAAAATACATAGTTTATTGTTTATTTATTTATCACAAAAATAGCACACAACTTATGGATCTAGAGAATACATGTTTGGATTGAAAAAAAGTTCCAAAGTGAATTATCAACGTCGGATTTGTTGAAATTGCGACATTTTGTAAAAGTTTGAGTGGTTTTTTCTCCAAAGCAAACTGCTCCACGTTCAATGGCGCCATTTTTGTTGCACGTAGAAGAAGATATCTGGTTTACACCAGCTTCAATAGCAGGAGAAGCATTAGCCATGAACCTTTGCTTGACGTCATCAGCACCTTTAACAGTGTCGGAGCATACACCACCACCACGTTATCTAAGTATCAAATAGAGAGTACTTCCAGCTTGTATATTATAATCTCTCATAGTGCGACCATCTTCACATTGTTTGCCATCAAAGATCAACCTCTGTTGATCCGGCAGTATTCCTTCTTTGGCTTCAATCAAGAGTCTCAATGTTTCAAAAGTATCATTCGACGATACTTTAAATTCCATTTCTTTACATGTCTGAGTTTTCACATAAACGGTGAATTTGCTTCCCTCAATGGCAACATCGAACACCAGCCTTGAGCAAATTTCGGAAGACTCTTCGTAGGTTATGTTGCTACGCGCGGCATTGGCCGCCACCACCTCTTTACCTTTCTCGCCTAATTGACTGGTAAAATGAAAATGTCTGCCGTTGTCAGTGACAGTTTTCAGTAGGGCTTTCCTTCCAGCCCCTACAACGAAAGATCCGAAATCCTTGGTGCCTTTCAGATTAAATGATATGCGTCTATCGTTGCCGGTGTTGTCAGTCTGGATATCGAAGTCGGTGTCTGCAGTGGGGAAAAACCCAATAAACTTATCAATCGATGATCCTTTCGCTATAGGGATACACTGTTGCTGTGGCAATTGAACAATTTCAATTTTTAGACCAAACTTGATTGGAAATCAAATTTGGATGATACCACATTTTCGTACGAAGATTCTATTCAAAGTTTGACAAACTCACTGTGGGCAAAATTTCCTGAAAAGTGCCTAAAAAAATTAAACAATATATCTAATAAAATATTTTTGTTTCATATCGACTCCCAGTAAAATATTTTATTACAATTTTCTCTAGAGGGGGCAGCTGTCCCATATCGATTTTATTTAATTTGATGAATTTATTTTATTGGTAATTTTGACATGGAATAACCCGTATCGTCGCTGTGAAAGTCAAGTTGATTTTAAATAACAGGAAATTTAGGATATATTAGCTTGACGGTATTTTACAAATTACGGCAAAACGGTTAAAGTTACAGGTAAAAAGTAAAAACGATTTTATAGAAAATTTAATTTCCTATAAAAAAGATTCTATGCGATAATATACAATAAAATGTATAGTTTAAAAGATATAGAGCATTTAATATAAAACCTATCCTCCGTGACTGTTACTCTTTCTAGGTTAACCTATATGTTTTCAAATATCCGAGGTAGTAAGAGCATACTAAAAATATCAGTTCACTAAGTAAATTAAACACATCTAAAGCAATCGAATCAAATATAAAATATTATTAAAAATTAAAAGAAATAACTTTTATAACCATTTATGTAGGTGTTACAAAAATTGATTCTATCCTCCGTGAATCTGTTTTTGCTTTAAATTTTATGCAACGGATATCCGTTGCATAAAATTGCCATATGGAGCTTTAATCATTTTAAATAAGCAAAAACCTCTGTTTACGATATTATAGATGAATGTGATTCCTGAAGGTCAGTTAGAATTTATATGCAGTTTTATAATTCAAAAGTTTAAGTTCATTAATTTGCTATTTAAAAACCTATCCACCGTGAAGCGTAATATCTAGGTAAGTAGATTTTTTATAAATAATAATAATTATTGAGTTTACGGCAACTATTAAAGCAGCGGAGTGCATTAATAATAAAAATATTTTGATAAAACCCGATGGAATGGAGGATAATATCATGATCCGTTTAAATGTTATATGCAGTTGTAATTGTGATAAATATCCCTAATTTTGTTGAAATCTCGAATATCTGCTCCAATAATGGAAAAATGGAATGTGGTGCAGGTAGGTAATTGTGTTTTACGGAAACAATTGCAAATGTCAAGGAATTTATAACTCCATGTCATATTTTAATGATTTCTTTTTGGATTTAAACCCCTTCAATGTAAGTGTATGTCAACCAAAACTAAACTTTCCAATTTGTTTAGACAAACCCAAAAAACCAAAAAAGCTTTAAAAAAATTTGCGACAAAAACAACAACCTGTGTGCGAGAACCATGGAACGTGCGATTGTGGTAAAGAAGGATGAAGCGGTGAAGCATGTGAATGTGCACCTGTTACATCATGCAAGGCTTCAGGTGATGAACAGGTTTTTTCTGGCAGAGTAAGTTGAAGCTGCTGAGAATGTTTATGTGACATGCCATTTAGTGGGAAATATTGCGAAATATGCACCAACTGTGGAAATAGAAGGTATGTTTTAAGCTTACACAGTAAAAAAACTTTACACTAGGCTGCACTAGAAAACACTAGTTAGAGCTTCACTTTATTAGAGTTCAAATTTTCACCCTAAATTTAGTGTGAATTTTAGTGTTGTTTTAAATTTAGGGGTTGTACTCTTATAGTGTAACAAATTTAACACAGTTCGTGCAAATTTATATTCTAGTTACTGCACTAATAGTGTGAATCGTACTCTTATAGTGTTAGACATTTAACACAGTTCTATGAGGCGCCGTTTGTCCGTAAATTATTTTTGCTATATATAAGAATATTTTTTATATATAAACTTTAAATTTCCTATATATATATAGAAACTTTTTAGTTCAGATAATGCCGCTTGAGAATGAGGGTGCTTTGTGGTATTCAACTAAAAAGCACTGTTGCCAGAGTGTGCCAATGCAAAGTTTTGGTCCAACATAACGTTTCGCCAGATCTGGCAGATTTTAATAAGGTCGAGGGAAAAAAGATACTCTTACGGCTGACGGATTTTAAATACCTATTAGTAAAAACGAAGCCCTGTTTATTTAGAGAAATAGAGACGGCCAAAGAAGAGAAATGTTTTCTTCAATAAAAATAGACCAACCGACCAATATATTACCTATAAGTATTTAAAAAAACTAAAATCCTATACTTTTTGCTATCATTTTGTTCCGCTAGATCTGGCCAAAGATCCGTTATGTTGGAAACACTGACAAAAACTTTGCATGGGCAACAGTGCTTTTTAGTTGAATACCACAAAGCGCCCTCATTCTCAAGCGGCATTATCTGAACTAAAAAGTTTCTATATATATAGGAAATTTAAAGTTTATATATAAAAAATATTCTTATATTTAACAAAAATAATTTACGGACAAATGGCGCATCATACAATTCGTGCGACTTTCTACACTATTTGATTGAAAATTACTACACTAACCGTGTTCGGTAGCTCTCTAAAAGGGTTCACTTTTACACTAATTTATTTGCATTTATTTCACTTTTAGTGTGAATGCTATTTCTAATAGTGCTGGAAATTTAATCTATTTAGTGTTTATTCTAACACTAATAGATTTAAAATTTCTACACCAATAGTGTGTAAGATTGCAATGGTGTCTGCAGTGCGCCCTAAAAGTAACATACATAAAATTCATTTAATTTCGATAAAAATGGTATAGGTAAAATGGCATACCCAATATATATTATAATATTAATACATTATAAACCAAGCGGAGAAAGCACATATTATCGACGAGCATACATTAGCCGAGGTAGTAGATTGTGTGCCAGGCAATTAATAAGCTTTCGCCGCCGTGTTTTATATACTATTTTTTTCCAAGAATTTAATTTTTTAAAATTCTGTTCAACTGACCATGACATTTTAGATTTATTTCGATATAGAAAGTCTTTATATTAATACTATAGTATATATATATATATATATATATATATATATATATATATATACAGGGTGTCCCGGAAAAGGAGGTCAATCCGTTAACCATATATTCCTTGAGTTAAAACAATAAGACTTTCATAATACCATTTTTCAATTTAGAGCTTCATGTTCGATATACAGGGCGACAAAGTTTGAAATTAAAAACTGATTTTTTTTAATAATTCGAGTAATTGATAAGATACTAAGTTTAAATTCGGTACACTACTTCAACATAAATAGTTACATTTTTTGAGACCAACAAAACAAAAAAACAATTGTCAAATAATCAAAATAGGGGGGTCCAGTACTCACTGACTCCCCCTATTTTTTAGTACGTGCGCCAATGACTTCCAAACGGAATTTTTTCAGGTAATCATTTATTGTTGAAAATTTTTTGTATCTTATAAAATTTTGATCAAATGATTTGTTTTAGAGATAATTTGTAAAGTATGGGTCAGTCCATATCAAATTTTCAAAATTTAATTTTTTTTTGAAAAAATGTAGGTCATGTGATATATCATAAAAAAGTTCTCTAATAGGCCTTTAAAATAAGCCATCACTCACCTTTCTACTTTTAATAGTTTACGAGATATCGCTATTTTTGTAAGTACTTGCAAGACCCAAATTTATCGGAATTTTTTGATTTTCAAAAATCAATAAAACAAAAACCACCTATCGAAAAAAGTTCATATAGGTATGGGATTTTTGAGTTTTTTAGTGAGGTAAACAAATTTACCAAAAATGATCAAAATCGGAGATGGTGGGGGAAGAACCTTTGGTTGATTTGATATGGACTGACCCATACTTTACAAATTATCTCTAAAACAAATCATTTTATCAAAATTTTATAAGATACAAAATTTTTTTAACAATAAATGATTACCTGAAAAAATACCGTTTGGAAGTCATTGGCGCACGTACTAAAAAATAGGGGGAGTCAGTGATTACTGGACCCCCCTATTTTGATTATTTGACAATTGTTTTTTGTTTTGTTGGTCTCAAAAAATGTAACTATTTATGTTGTAGTAGTGTACCGAATTTTAACTTAGTATCTTATCAATTACTCGAGTTATTAAAAAAAATCAGTTTTAAATTTCAAACTTTGTCGCCCTGTATATCGAACATGGAGCTCTAAATTGAAAAATGGTATTAGGAAAGTCTTATTGTTTTAACTCAAGGAATATATGGTTAACGGATTGACCTCCTTTTCCCGGACACCCTGTATATATATATATATATATTTATATATACATTATAATGAAGTATTTAATTGGCAAATATGTGTTTAAAGAAGAAGAATGTAAAATCAAGATCCTTATGGTTTATATCGTAAAGTATAATAAGTGAAATTAATAAAGAGTTAATTTAAACCAAGTTAGTCTTGTTCTATTATTTTGATCCCTTTAGTAAGGCACTGAATAGTTAAAAGTTATATGTATGTATTTTAAATGCTAGTGTTGGAAAAAAAATTACACAATCTGTAAATACTTCTTTAAATTTTAGTTTTTAGGTAACTGGTTAAAATAAAACATGTTATAATAAAGGGGTTTATTGAGAATTTTTTTGGTTTTTGCTTATTTTTTACAATTTAAAACTTCTCAGAACTTGAATATTTTCTATGAGAAAGAGGTACAAAATTATGATATGTTCTTGCATTTTTAATGGCAATTAAATTCATGAATCTCGAACACTCGGTCATTTATTACACTTGCAAACTTGCAAACTTTTTGAAATCACAATTTAAATACGCACAAATAATATTTATGAAATATTTTTGGACGTTTCTTACATTTCTCTACCAAACATGAACTGACTAAGTCAAAGCCATCTAAATTTTAAATTATAAATAAATCTAACAATATCGCTTCTTAACTGCATTAAAAAAATATTATATCTTTTACATGGATAAAAATAACAAAACAAGACTAACTAGACTGAAAAGATAAAGGTGGGGAATACATTTCCTGAAAGTTTCAGATTTTTATTTTTTCCTCAACATAATGATTTCTGAGGGCAAAATTGGCTAATTTTGAAAATTATCAAGTTTCAATAATTTTTTTAATAAAGAGAATGATAGTCTAGAAACTTAAAATAATAGTTATGTTTTCTATTGTATAAGTACTTGATACCTGAAAAAAAGCAACTTTCTAGATTTAGCAGGATAGGCACAGGAGCCAGACAAAAATCACAAAAATTGGCAAATTATTACAAATCTTTAGTGGTTTACCATTCTTTTATGAGATGAACTAATTAGATAATAATAATTAATATTGAAAACATACTTACTAGGCAGTAAAATAAAATTACAATCATTTCAATAATTGCCACAGAAAAAAAGTTTTAGCCTCTTAAAAGAGAGTAAGAAAATAACACAATTTCAGGTTTCTAAAGGGTGCCGATTCAAAAGAAAGCAACTAAAAATTAAAACGGCAACGGTTTTTCATATATGATACCTAAAAGATCATCCTCAAATTTTTTTCATTAAAATAAAAAATCATGCAGCGCACTTTTCAATTCATTTTTGGTGTTTTGATTTGTATTGACTCTAATGTAAATATATGATCATTGTACATTTTGTAAAATGGCGATTAAATTAAGCGACTTAATTATACTCCTTTTTACAGAACCTAAATAATCCCATGGACGAGAACGAAGTATATTTAGTCGATGACATTGTCACCGAGGATATTATTTATATTATAGATAGACACTAAGGTTGTAGAAAAGTTTTTACCCGGTTATTTTTCTGGGAACTTAATTATTTTTGAATGAAAAATCAACTGGTATTTTTAATATAAATTTAAAAAAAATAAATTCTTTTGAATGGGTTTGGCCAATTGACGAATTCATTTCAGGTGCATTTTACTAAAAAGGTGCATTACTAAAAACCACAATTCATTTTTCACAGAAGGGACAAAAAAATTATTATAACTAAGTAACTTTATTTCTTTATTATTTTTTTGTGTTAGTGAGCTATGTATTGATACATATAACTTACCAACACAAAAAAGCAATAAAAAATAAATAAAATTACTAGGTTATAATCATTTTTTTGTCTTTCTTGCAAAGGATGTTGTAGGCATGGTCAAAATCAATATTATTTATGTCAAATTTTTTTATTTTGCCCGCTGTAACCACCATTCTCACGCCATCGTCCCTAAACCTTACACATATAAACATTTTTTTAAGGTATAAGTACACAACTACCCCTAATCACAGAAACCCATAGATTATAAAAAAACCGACTAATAAATAAACGAAATTAAATTGCGTCCAAAGACTTATGATGGGCCATTGATGGCGTCTCAACGATTTGAACAAGGACTGCGTACGCAGGGTTGCCAGGTTTTAAAATGAAAACATCACCAAAATTTGCACAAAAAACGCCATAATACCGCCAACTTTAATACATTTAAAATCGCCATAGTTTCGCCAACGTAAAAGCGGTTTCATATAGATGCGAAATACGAAAAATGTTTTCATTGGTCCATTTGTTTTGGCGGGAAAA